CCTAAGGAAGCTCACAATTTTTTGTACCTATCACACTCATACAGTTGGTCCAATTGTTAGAGACAGGTTTTGGATTGTGGGAGGAAACTAGAGCAGCTGGAAAAATCCCACCACACAGGATGAACATACAAACTTCATGCAGAAAGAGTTCCCTTCACTTCCTGTGAGTTCACCAGGAGAGGAAGTGAGTATAAAGTGAGTATTTCCAACTGAGAACACAGACAGTAATACACACCCAACCGAGGTTCTAACTCTGTTTACAAAAATAGCTTTGGCTTGGCATCTACTTTGACCGGGAACCAAGGCAACCTTTTGGGCTAATGTTGACCATTTCCTACAGTCAGCTGTCCCTGTTTGCACATTACCTGTTAATAAGAAGCTGCTCCACCTCTGTAAGGTAGGAATAATCCCTGTTAACTGAGTTCATATGGGTCAGGGCTTCGCAAGGGTAATTTTTAGGCTTGATGCAATAAAAAGCCTCCTTGTCCCTTTTATCTATGTAGGCGCAGACTTCCTCCTGGGTGTCAAGCTGGAACCCGCATTCACTGTTCGCGTAGCTTGTAGCGCTTGTGTAATTTCCTGTGTATTTAATATTGGCGAATCCTTGATTCCTGCCGTGCCACAAGGCAGAGACGGCCTCGCTGGGGTGTATTAGGACTATCGATAGGTGCACAGTACCCTCCCAAAATAAGGTGAATTTGGCTAAATAAGTCCCATTATGATAGTCTTGTATGCTGCCGCTAGCACTGCTGTTGGTGGTGGGCGAGTATATCCTGGCCCTTAAATAGTCACCGCCATATTGTTTTGGGGCTCCAGAATAATCGTATGCATCCACTCTCACAAGCAGTAGGTCCCCAAGGCAATATTCCTCTTTAGGGTTAATAACGGTCAACTTGGTCTCCTCCGCGCTGGTCGCCTCCTCCATGTGGTCGATGGTCACCTTGGGAATGAGTTTGTCGATCTTTTTGAAAACGGTTTCAATCTCATCGTTGGTTTCCAGTGGCGCGGGAATGGCAGGCATGGCGGGGATGGACTGTGATCCGCCACATTCTTTTTGTGCTGGACAGTTGCATAATTGGAGCATGTTAATTTTAGGGACCTGAAAACAGAAATGAAATGTTTTTAAAGCATGGGCGAAGGATCAAGGGTTGGTCCTTTAAAAACTAAAATAAATCTGACTGGCAGTCCCGTGGTACTCCCTGAAATGTAAAATATGAAATCCAGAGAGGCTCCCTTATGGCTGTTACTGCATGTGGGTGGAGCTAAGAACACGGGAAAATAAATTTTGCCACTGGCACATAAAAGGAGCTATTTATCATGGACGTCATCCAAGATTTTTCCAATTTAGGCTCGGAATAAAGTTGAGCGCATCTTGAGTGACAACATGGATAAATTGAATGTAAATGTGACTTTTACTTACACATTTACCATTGATGAATTAATTGAAGCAATTTAAAATGCATGCACCTGGAAAATTCACCGGCAGTGAATGTTTGATTGCCTGCTTTATAAATATGCCCCCAAGTGATGTAAAGTTAAAAATTTACAGTTGTCACTGCAACAGGAGGTGAGAGGAAATCTCTCCAATCGCTCTTGCCACCTAGCATCCTGGGTTGCTAGGACTCATGCAGCTCCTGCCGCCTAACATCTTTGGTTGCTAGGACACAAGCAACTCCTGCCACCTAGCATCAATTGTTGCTAGGACACATGCAGCTGCTCCTGCGTAACATCCTTGGTTGCTAGGACACAAGCAGCTCCTGTCCTATAAAATCCTTGGTTGCTAGGACAAATTCAGATACTGCCGCCTAACATCCTGGGTTGCAAGGACACAAGCAGCTCCTGCTGCCTAACATCCTTGGTTGCTAGGACACAAGCAGCTCCTGCTGCCTAACTTGGTTGCTAGGACACAAGCAGCTCCTGCTGCCTAACATCCTTGGTTGCTAGGACACAAGCAGCTCCTGCTGCCTAACATCATTGGTTGCTAGGACTAAAGCTGATCCTGCTGCCTAACATCATTGGTTGCTAGGACACAAGCAGCTCCTGCTGCCTAACATCATTGGTTGCTAGGACTAAAGCAGATCCTGCTGCCTAACATCCTTGGTTGCTAGGACTAAAGCAGATCCTGCTGCCTAACATCCTTGGTTGCTAGGACTAAAGCAGATCCTGCTACCTAACATCCTTGGGACTATGACGAAAGCAGATCCTGCTACCTAACATCCTTGGGACTATGACGAAAGCAGCTCCTGCTGCCTAACATTCTTGGTTGCTAGGACACAAGCAGCCCTGCCACCTAAGATCCTTGGTAGCTATGACATAAGCAGCTCCTGCAGCCTAACATCCTTGGTTGCTAGAACACAGATGGCTCCAATAGAACACATCTGTGCTGTACTCATGTGAACATTAGCACAAATGTTTACATGCGTACAACGTAAAATAAGGTCTGTACATTGGACTGTGGGTGCAGATTTTTACCCGAATGCTTAAACATTTACTGTAGCTCATTGACTGCAGTCACTGTTCGGTTGAGATTTTTATGGACCTGCTCCTCCTACAAAAGTTATTGTCAAATGGGGGTCCTAATGGGGTCAAATACAGGTCAAATGACTGAAAGACTTGCCACTGAATACCGCAAGACTTATGTTCAAAGGGCAGTTGTATGTTGATATGGTGTCCTAAGAGGGCGCCAATTAGTGTTACCCCCCATGTAAAGCACCTGTAAAATACTGCATGCAGTTCAATATGCTGCAGCACCGAGATGCAAACAACCTCCAATACTGTCAGCAAATTTTGGCAAAAATAGCGGCAGATCTGGCTGATTCCAGGCCGATGAATGTTCCTGGAATCGCCCAATTTTTAATAATCAGTGTTTCATTTTATTATACGATTATACGTATACGTCTCCAGCCCCCATGTAAAAAGACGGTTTGCCGCATTCATGCCTTTCGGGGTTAAGACATTCTCATGCATTGCTATAAAAAAAAACACGACACTTGTCTTGGCCATGGCGATGAGGAATGAAGCATTCCAGAGGAACAATTGTAACCGGATCAATAAAATATGACCCATGGTCTCGCCACTCCTGCTGATGTCTTTTATATCCTTGTTAATGGTGTCTTTGCATGCAATCTCCAGAAAAAACTCTCTTATTCTTGTTGTTCCAGGTAAACCTGCATTAGGCCAGTTAAGACTGGAATGCAACTGTAGGCACCATAGATATTTTTCTCTTTACAAAAAGTTTTCATTAGGATATATCAATCTGCTATATATACTTAAACATGGTATATACTACCTGCACTTTTTTTTGATGGTACACCAAGAAGATTATGGTGGTTATCACTGCCACTATTATGGCCGATCTGAGGGACAGCTTCATCTTGTACAGAGGAGGATGCTCCTGGAGGACGAAAGGAAGAAAAAAACGGGCATTATTTTCAGGGTCTATGGGAACATGTCATGACAGTGGTGGCATCAGTGCTAAGGGTGCTCATTGCTAGAAGGCAGCTTTGTTAGCTCCGAGGCAGAGCATAACACTATAGTCAGGGCCGGCCTTAGGGGTGTGCGAGCTGTGCGGCCGCACAGGGCGCCATGGCAGCAAAGGCGCCATGCGGCCAACACAGCTCGTCCTCGGGGCGGCTTCTCTCCTCCTCACCGCTGGCCATCCGACATGACAGTGCTCTCTTGTCCGTCCTCCCCACTTCAGCGCTGTTCCCCTGTTCTCGGATCCCCGCTGCCTGTATGGGCTGAGGAAGCGCGGTTCCGAGGAGAAACAGCAGAGAGACGGAGGCGCAGGAGGGAGTGCTGCCTGCTGTCAGGATGGCCGAGCGGTGAGGGGGAGACAAGCCGCGCCCGCAGCTGGTAGGATGGCCGAGCGGGGAGGAGATCGGAGCCGCTGTCATCCTGTCAGTTTCAGGATGACAGCGGCTCTGTGCGTGGCAGAGCGGGGGATCGGTAAATATCAATGATACTTACCGATCCTAAGTGTGAGAAGGACAAACACTGGAGCGATCGTCTCAGGGCCGGCCTTAGGCCTTTAGGCGCTCTGTGCGAGAAAGCTTTACACCCTTCAGTGGCCACACCCCCAGTAACCACACCCATGTCCCCCAATATCCGCACCATTTAAAGACTCCTATTTTGTTAAGCCGCAAAGAAACATATTAAAAAGTATGATAAAAATAAAACTTTTATTCAAAGGTATTAAACTTGTAGGCACAATATAAGTATTCTTATCAAATAAAACAACAGAAGGTAAACAATAAATGTCAAACTAAAATAGAGTCTATAAAAATAAAGTGTCAGGTTGTCATGCCAAGCAAAACAGATGACAAACGCACTCATCAATTCGTCACCAGCTTTACAGTAAGGTGCACGCGGAATGGGCTTTAAACAGTAAAATAGCAAAAAGTTGCACTATACAGTAAGAGGTGCCTTGGCGCGGCTCTGCGGCTTTCACATTTTGTGCAGAAGACGTGTATCCAAACCTCTGTTATTAACCTTAGTGTGAGACAAGTTTTTTTACATGCTAGCTTGTGAGTGTGCCAGGAAAACTTTTTGCTATTTTACTGTTTAAAGCCCATTCCGTGTGCACCTTACTGTAAAGCTGGTGACGAATTGATGAGGGCGTTTGTCATCTGTTTTGCTTGAATGATTTGGTGCAGTGATGCATGGGGGGTCTCAGCTGCCATTGGGATGTGCGGGGTCCCTTGTGCGTCTCTGTGCCTTTAAGGGAGGTTGGGCTTCCTCCTGACAAACCTGCACCCAATTTTATCTTCTGCCCCATGTGCTCCAAGATGGAGACTCCCATAGTTTAGAGTTAGGACCGCACTATAAGAGGTGCCTTGGCGCGGCTGTGCGGCTTTCACATTTTCTGAGAAAGACGTGTATCCAAACATCTGTTTTTAACCTTAGTGTGAGACATTTTTTTTTACATGCTAGGTTGTCATGCCGACCCCTTTTTTCAAGTAAGTGTATCTAGAAAAGTAAAAATAGAAAACAGAACACAAAACCCAGACTACATGTAAAATTAATGAATTACTATTTGTCCGAATATATGAAAAATGTATTCAGGCACATAATAATTTGTTTGAGAATGTGCGGCAGCCATGTTGGCCACCGTCGTGTTCTGTGAATGCGTGCCACCATCTTGGAGGCGGGGAGCATGACGTTGCATGACCGCATGCATGCGTGGCATGCATAGCATAAAAATTTGTTTTGTTTGATGAAACGTTTTTAGTTTTCGTTCATTTCATCTGAAATTAATTTTTAGTCTTCGCACTTGTCTAATAATATATGTGTGTGTGGGGTGGGAAGCCTCTGTACTGAGTGTTTACCATTCATTGAGTGCTGAGGCTGCTGAAAAAGAAATTGAGGATTTGGTGTCCTCAATTTCTTTTCTATTTTATAAGGGAAATGTCAGAGGTCTGTTTGGACCCCTAATATTTGCCCAAAGCCCCCCAACAGTAAAAAAGAAAGAAAGAAATAATAATAAAAAATGATTTTCATGCTCCCCGCCTCCAAGATGGTGGCACGCATTCACAGAACACGCCGGTGGCCAACATGGCCGCCGCACATTCTCAAACAAATTATTATTATGTGTCTGAATACATTTTTCGCATATTCGGACAAATAGTAATTGATTAATTGAACATGTAGTCTAGGTTTTGTGTTCTGTTTTTTTATTTTTACTTTTCTAGATGCACTTACTTGAAAAAAGGGATCGGAACGACAACCTGACACTTTATTTTTATAGACTCTATTGTAGTTTTGTATTTGTTATTTGCTTTCTGTTGTTTTATTTGATAAGAATACTTATATTGTGCCTACAAGTTTAATACCTTTGAATAAAAGTTTTATTTTTATCATACTTTTTAATATGTTTCTTTGCGGCTTAACAAAATAGGATTCTTTAAATGGTGCGGATCTTGGGGACAATGGGTGTGGTTACTGGGGGTGTGGCCACTGAAGGGTGTGACCATTGAGGGGTGTGGTCACCGAGGGGCGCTTTAAAGCTTTCTCGCACAGGGCGCCTAAAGGCCTAAGGTCGGCCCTGACTATAGTGTTCTCCAAGGTCTGAGATCCTCTGCCCTGAAACGAATGCTGCTTACAAGAGTCAGCATTGTCAGCCTCCTGAGCTGTACAGGGGCCTCAAATGTGACTGGTAGGATCTGTAATAACCGGCTGATTGTGGGAAACTGAACAAGAGAGACAAAGGGAGGGAGAAATAGAGATAAGGAGTAGAAGAAATAGCGGGAGGGATGGTATAAGGGCTTGTATACAATGTTTTTTTTTCTCGGCAGAAATTTGTTTCCCTATACAAGTCAATGGAAATGTGAAGGCAGGCCAGAAGGAGACCAACTGTAGGTTAGAAGGAGGCCAATTGTGGGTCAGATCGAGGTCAACTGCAGGTCAATAGGAGGCCGACTGCAGGTCAGAAGGAGACTAACTGCAATATAAAAGGAGGCCAAATGCAAGTCAAATAGAGGTTGTCAGGAAGGACTGGCTGCAGGGATCGCTGCACGTGCTGTTGCGCACAGATATGCGCAGAGAAACCGATTAGATGTTTCCATCATGCGCATGAATGGTCAGAAGCGTGCATCAGTACTTTGGGCCGGCGCGCACGTGTGCACGAATGTTCCACCTGTTGGCGCCAGTCGAGCTCTTTAAGGATGCTGGAAGCAGCTGCTAGCTGCTGGAAGATCATCAGCTGTATCCTGTACTTGCTATCCCTGTTTACTGATATCTTGGATTTGATCCGGCTTGTCTCTGAACCACCGCTTGTCTGTCGCCTGCCTTCTGACCCCTGCCAGTCTTGACTACCCTACTGCATTCTGATTTTGCTCTGCTTGCCCGCATGGTTCCGGTCCGGCTTTCCTGTGACTACGCCTCTGCCTTATGCTTCTGCACCTCGTTGCCTGCCAGTTGCTGACCCGGTCCGTCTGACTCCATCCTGTCTTCTCTGCTGCCATCTGGTTTGCTGCTGACCATCTGGTTCCAAGAGTATCCTGCATCCAGCTACTCGCATCACCTCACCAGCACCAGCAGTTCTGCACCTGCCACAGGCACTCATGCCTCTCTCTCTTCCGTGCATTCCCTTTACAGCCTCCAAGGGTGCTCTGATGAGAGTTGCAAGGGAAAGCCCCCTTCATCCCTTCAGGTCATACCAGGTATGTGACAGAGGTCAACTGCAGGTTAATAGGAGGCTAACTGTAGGTCAATAGGAGCCCAACTGTAGGTCAATAGGAGGCCAACTGTAGGTCAATAGGAGGCCAACTGTAGGTCAGTAGGAGGCTAAATGCAACCAGTTAAGCCACTGAAATGGAAATAAGAGGGGGAAGGGAGAGAGAGAAAAGTGGTAGAAGAATGGAGATGAAGAGAGAAGTCAGGGAAGAAGGAAATAATTTAGGGGAAAAGAGAAGTAGGGAGATTGGGAGAATGGAGAGCAGAAGATAAGTGAATGAGAAAGGGAGAGAGATAAGGAAGAGTGGGAAGAAGGAAAAAAGAAGAGAGGGCGAAAGAGAGGAAGGAGAGAAAGAAGTCAAGGAGGGAGGGATAGAAGACAAAGGAGACAAGGAGGTTGACCATCGGTGTGTTCTATACATATGAGACGCAATACAATGTAATAACTTGATCATATCTGTTCATTACCTGTTCATACTTTGAATTTTCAGTCGTTAGAATCATCTTTTCTTCATAGCTGCTGGATCACATGAAAAGCTACCCAGCCATCAGTATCACCACAGCCGCTGTAGGAGATGCAAGAATCAATATAAGACCAACCTATTAAAGAGGGTGGACACTTTATACAGAGTGCTGAGGGTGCCAAAGGTGTCATTTTATGTGATAAAGCTCCAAGCAAACCCATAAAAGTATCCCCTACCCTCTGTTCTCCACCACAAAGGCAATTCTTCAAGTGGTACAAAGTACTATTTGCTTTGTCAGCAGTGGTATGGTGGTTCCCAACTGTATAAGCATTAAGCTTATGCAAATGTATTTGGCAGAAGCTACCTGCTGAAATAATGTAGCTAGATGGTGCTGGGCCCTATAATTCAAATGGCAGCATCCTCCTATAATCACCGCTCTGGCAGCCCATGTCTGCTACCTTTGCTCTGTTCCAGCACTGCAGCCTCCATCAGACTCTTCAGCATTGGACACTCCGGGTTTCATATACCCGTGTTCCCCTCTGGGCCATAGTACCTCTTAGGGATGCACAGATAACGTTTTTTTGGTATCGCGTACAAAAAACGATATTTTGCTTTCGGTACTCGGCAGTACAGAGTATCGATACCGGTGCTTCCGCTGCCGTGGAGCCAGCTTCCCGGGCAATCAGGAAGCCAGGAGGCATGTAATGACATATTGCCCGGCTTCCTGATGGTCCGGGAAGCAGCCTCCATGTTG